TCCTGGCTTTGGCCTGGCCCAGCCCTGGCTGTTGTGGCAACGAGGGGAGTGAACCAGTGGATGGAGAATCTCTCTCTCTCTCTTTCCCTCTCTCTCTCTGTAGCTCTTCCAAATAAATAAGTCTTTACAAAAAAAGAGAGAGAGAGAGAGAGAGACCAACACATGTGATTCCTCAAAAAATATGTGTATGTATCTAATACATAACTTACATTTTATTGGTGAGTTTCTGTGTCATGATGTTTCTCAGTGTGTCCATAAAACACAGTGACTTCTTGTGTTCCAAATGACTTTGTTAGACACAGCTTAGTGGAAAGAGGAAAGAAAGCTTAGGATGCCACTCTCACCCCTAGCTGGTTTTCGCATTGTCTAAGGTTATTATACACCAAGAGGCTGGGGAAATCAAATGGAAGTATTTGGAAAAGACATAGTATTATATGGATATAAAATTATTTCACACATAAACAGATTACAGGCCAAATAAGTTAAATCCAGGAAACATGGAGGGTATTTGACAAGCAATTGAAAGATTCATTTCTTAGGTGAGTGGGTATTGCAGAAGTGTTGGAAAGAAATACAAAGTATCACTGAATTCATCCGTGTGATTAAGAAGGGAGAGCATAGTGAAGTCTCAGCACTACCCTTGGGGGAGAAGCTTGCTGTGTGGATTTATGAAAACCTTTCTAGTCAGCCTGCTTTCCAGTGGCAAAGGAAGTTCTTGCAACTGGTATGCTGCCTTCTTTTATTTTTTTTAACTATTTTCTACTTCTCTGGTGGTATTTAAAAAAAATATTTTATTTATTTATTTGAGAGGCAGAATTACAGACAGAGAGAGGGAGAGAGAGAGAGAAAGGTCTTCTATCCATTGATTCACTCCCCAAATTGCAACCACTGACAGAGCTGGGCCAATCCGAAGCCAGGAGCTAGGAGCTTCATTTGGGTCTCCCACATGGGTGGCAGGAGCCCAAACACTTGGGTCATTATCTGCTGCTTTTCCCAAGCCATAAGCAGGGAGCTGGATCAGAAGAAGAGCAGCCAGGACATGAACCAGCACCCACATGGGGATGCCAGTGCTGTAGGTGGAGAATTAGCCTACTATGCCACAGTGCCAGCCCCTTCTGTGATGTTCTATTCTAACATTTTATAGAAACTGTCTCTGCTTTATAGATTTTAGGAAGAGAAATTAATACATCCTTATAAAAATTACCACAAATGTAGCAGCTTAAAGCAACATGAATTTCTCATCCTAAGGTTCTAGAACTCAGAAGTCCAAAATGGGTCTCACTGGGCTAATGTCAAGGTATCAGGAAGGCTGCATTTCTTCTGCACCCTGACTGGGAAAACCAGTCTCAATGGCTGTTTCAACTTTTACAGTCCTCCCACATCCCTTGGTGAATGACCTCTTCCTCCATCTTCAAAGCCAGCCACAGAGGATGAATCTTTCTCCTACCATCATTTCTTCTGTCTCTTCTGCTTCCTCTTTTCAATTCTAAAAGACCCTTTATTACAATAGGCCCACCTGGATATTGCAGGTCAGTTAGCAATCCATCTCATATCTGCTTGTGAAATGAATGCCCCTTTGCCATATAACCAAACATATTCCAAGGTTCCAAGGGTTAGAACTTGGACATCTTGAAGTCTTATTTGGCCTACCCCATGGATTACAATCTACTGCAAAATTACTATCAAGCACACAACATGCAAAAGTCCCCACAAAATCTTTGCACTCCTGGCCCTCTGAGGCTTAGCCTTGAAATGTGGGTAATGGGGTGGGGTGTAGTTAAGCAAAAAGCTCTTTCATTGGGCACTAAACGGTGCTATGTTAATAAACTCTTATCAAACAGTTCTGGCCCAGAAGGGGAAGGGAGGCTGATGTGTAGCATTTGCCAATTTCTATAATGTATCTTTGATATGTATTTTTTTTTAATTTTGAAAGCAGAGAGACAGAGATCTTCCAGATATTGGTTCACTGCCCAAATGCCCTACAGCATCAAGGGTGGACCAAGCTGAAACCAAGAGCCTGGAACTCAATCCAGATATCTCACATGGGTGGCAGGGATCCATCTATCACTTGCTGCCTCCCAGAAAGCGTATTAGCAGGAAACTGGATCAGAAACAGAAAAGCTGAGACTTAAAACTGCTGCATTCAATGCCTGCCCCTGTAGTGTAAATAGCCCCACCATAGTCAGTTTCAAGTAATCAACATGAAGTCAGCCAGCTCAAGAAAATGTTGAAATTTAACAATGCGTTCTCACAAGCCAGTACAAGGAGGCTCTAAGCACCTACTGGGAATACATATACCACTGACATATGCAGCCACTTCACAAACTGCACGGAAAGATGAAATTATGAGATTAAGTTTATTCTGGCACAAAAGAATACTTTGAAATCCATGCATAATGCACACTTCCGTGAGCTTTTTGAAGACCCCACATTCTCTAGGCAATTCAAGTTCCACTGCAGCATTCCAGGGCTCTCTCCATACTTCCCTTTCACCCAGTGCAGTAGCTCCTCCTGGGCCCCACAAACAAGACTGAATGCCTTTCACACTTCCCTGTTTACTAAGGATCAAGAACAGCCACAAATGCTGGCTCAATGTTACACACACAGATGGTGACCAATCTTAGACCCAGTGGCCCCTTGGCACTACTGCTGAGAGAAGGAACTCTGAAGGAAGGCAGGTAGAGGGCAGGTCAAGACCAGAAGAAGGTAGAGGTTCTTGGGTGGCACTGGTCTGCACACTTTCTGCCTGGCTGGGATCCTAGGCAGCATCCACTTGCCTGGGGAGAAGGGCAGTATTTTGCAGGCTGGTGCCCGTGTGTGTATTTGCTGTGCATTTTAAAGAATAAGTGCTCCATAAGCACGGCTATTATCACTTTCCTTGGCCATTTCTACACTGGCAATGTGAAATACGTCATTTCTGGCTGGCCAATGTCCATTTTTCTTTGGCACAAGCTACAATCTAAATAGGCTTACATTTAGTACAAAAAGCCACAGCTGTACAAGCCATGGCAGGGGCTGGAGTGCCGGCGGCAGTGCAGGCCAGTCAGAATCAGAAAGTGAGTCTATGAGAGGATGTGGTCTGTGGGGAGGGGCTCCTTTTTGTGCAAGGTTGTTTCAATTAATGCTTCCCGAATTTTTGGATGCATAGTAATCAGCCAAGGGGCTTACTAGAGTACAGATTCTGATTCCATTGGTCGAAGGTAGAGCCCAAGATTGTGCACAAACTCTCAGGCAATGCCAATGCTGCTCACTCAAGGGTCACATGTCGAAGTGGAGGGGTTGATAGAGCAACTCTCTCTCCATCTCTCACTTTCCTGCATTTACAGTGATCATTAAAGTTATCATATTAGAAGAGCCAACCAAATTACAATTTCTATATTTGATGACTGCTCAACGCCTAGTGTTTTGGTATTACTTGGAAAGAGAGAGACACTGTTTTTATTCCATGTTAAAGAAAACAGTTTCATCTGCTAACATTTATGAATAGTCTATATTACAATAATGAACTATAAACAACCCACATGCCAGCCAACTGTGGATATCAAATGAAAACTAATGAAGAACATTTAGGGTAGGAAGTGGCAACAATAATAATAATAACAATAATTCTTCAGGAACTGGAACAGCTACTTGGCCTAGTGGCTAAGACACCTCTTAGTACACCCATATTCTGCATCGGAGTACCTGATTTTGAGACCTGGGCTTCAGTCCCGGCTCTGCTCCTGACTTCAGCTTATTGCTAATTCACATCCTGGGAAGTAGCAGGTAATGGCTCAAGTAGTTGAGACCCTATTACCCACATGGGAAATCTGGGTAAAGCTCCTGGCTCTTGGCTTCAGCATGGCCCAGGAGACTTGTTGCAGAAAACTGAGGAGTAAACTAGCAGGTGGGAGGTGTGTGTGTGTGTGTGTGTGTGTGTGTTAGATAGATAGGTAGATAGACAGATAAACTCTTATTCCAGTTCCTAGTGATGACTTCACAATTTCCTTTGTTCCACCTTAAATGTGTCTGGTTTATGGTCTCTAAAGGCAGCACTCCTCTAAAATCACAAAACCAACATGTGAACTTTCTTTTCATGGAGAAAATGGGAAGGAAAAGAGTCAGATGAAGGAAACCAAACTGGAGAATAGAAAAGTACATAGAGAAAGAAAGGTAAGTTAAAAAGTTATTGTGATAAAAAGCTTTGCCAGTGAAGGTGCAACATTGGATTGGACTTGGATTACTGGATCGAATTTTTGTAAAGTTTTACCATCTTTTCCCATACCTCTGGTATTTTAACACAGTTCCTCCTGTGCAAATTCAGGCTTATCTCCACCCCTAGAGATTCACTGAAAGCAGACAATGCACTTATCTCCAGAGTCATAGTACACAGCTGGGGGGGGGGGGGAACCAATGACTATCCCCACAAATGCTGAACAACAAATGCAACAACCCAAGAAACAAGAATAAGGAAGACAGCATGACACTCCCAAGAGAATACGACACTTCATTACTAGATTATGAAGACGATGAGATAGAAGAAATTCAAGAAATGGATCTCAAAACTAAAACATCACTTGGAGGTTTTTAGAATAGATCATATCACTTACCCGGAAATGCAAATGCATGCTTTTTATTTTTATCAGTAAAGGAGGCATATTTGCCTATACCACACTCACTCTGGAAAGTGCCATGTTTGACCATAAGTATGACTGTGTGCTCCTTGCTTTGCCTTCTAGCCAAATACACAGCTACTACTTGCGTCAGTCACCCAAGTGGTGAGACGCTGTGGTGACTCAGACCCTGAGCTTCTGGGCTCATCCACTTACCGACTGTGGACAGTTGGGCAAATCGTCTAAACTCTTGTGTCACTTCCCTCATGTACAAACTGGGTAATAAGGATACCATGGACTTCACAGGGCTACTAGGGGGATTGAATGAGTCAATCCATGGAGAGTGTCTAGATGAGAATCGGGTACTCAGCACCCAGTAAATGCTGCCTGGTCAGCCACACCCCTTACCTTCTCTCTCTGAACTGCCTTCATTTTTTGGAGTTCAGCTTCTTCGGCTTCCTTCCTGATCCTTGCAGATTCTTCTCTTTTCAGCTAAATTGTATTGAGATTATAGAGGATAAAAAACAGTTACATTTTTCAGTCTGAACCTCTGACACTCAAAATTATGATTAAAGGCAAATTACAGTATTGTCTCTGCTACACCTCACCATGATTGTAGGTTGCTCCTACAAGCTACTTGGATCCTGGGGAATGGCCAGGCTATCTGCTGCCTGTGGGTTTTTTCTCTTTCTGTATCATCTGTCTGCCTCTCTCTCTCTCTCTCTCTCTCTCTCTCTCTCCTTGTTTTTCTCTTCAAAGGGAGTAGGAGAAGAATAAGATAATTTTTCCTGATTACAAAATTCATAGTGTTCATACAAAAAATACTGGGTATCTTAAATCTTCTTTGTTCCACTTCCATGATTGGCATGAGATTAAACAAATCCTCATTCTTGGAATCAAAACATTCAAAACATAGTAGATTAAACCACAGTTCATTTAAAAATTCTCTTCATCATGCTGACTACATACATGGTTTGGATAAGAACTCTAAGCATTTCTCTTTCTATTTCTCACTTCATGATTTTGCTTTTGAGAGGTGCCTTTTGCAAGTGGCTTAAAGGTGTTACGTTTTTGGTAACGTTATTGTGCTACTTCATGGTTCCTTGAAAGTGCTGGTACTCAAATTCCTTGCCAAAAGCAAGCAAAAAGAGAGAGATTCTGACCTTTTTCTGGTGTTTGGATTGCATCAGTTGGAACTGCTGTCTCTGCCTGACTTCAGTCTCAGATTGGCTCCCACCTAAGGGGGGAAAACCATGAGGGGGAAACATTAATACGAAGCAGAAATGTCAGCCATCAGGAACTGACCAATTGAGTCCACACCACTAGTTCCTTTAACATTTTCACATTCCTGGAAAGAAGAACGTAACTAGTGTTCTTAATAAGAAGTTAAACAACAGTAATTGCTTAAAGGAGAAACAGAGCTATACAGAAAGACAAGGGCACATTCCCAAAAGCCAGGGCAACCCAACTAAGGTATTTTGATCATGTGTATTTTCTTTAGAGGCGGTAGGGGAGAGCACCCCCATCCCCTGGTTCACTCCCCAGATGCTCATAACAGTAAGGCCTGGAGCCAGAAGCCAGGAACTCAATCCAGGTGTCCCGCATGAGTGGCAGGGACTCAATTACTTGAGCCATCACCACTGCCTCCCAGGGTCTGCATTAACAGGAAGCTGCAGTCAGTAGCCAGAGCCAGGCTTCAAACCCAGACAGTCCTATGTGGGACACAGGCATCTCAGCTAGCACCTTGGCCACTAGACCAAATGCCCACCCCTCATGTAGATATTAAAATTTTCAGGCCGGCAACGCGGCTCACTAGGCTAATCCTCCGCCTAGCGGCGCCGGCACACCAGGTTCTAGTCCCGGTTGGGGCGCCGGATTCTGTCCCGGTTGCCCCTCTTCCAGGCCAGCTCTCTGCTGTGGCCAGGGAGTGCAGTGGAGGATGGCCCAGGTGCTTGGGCCCTGCACCCCATGGGAGACCAGGAAAAGCACCTGGCTCCTGGCTCCTGCCATCGGATCAGCGCGGTGCAGCGCACCGGCCGCGCCAGCCATTGGAGGGTGAACCAACGGCACCCTCTCTCTCTCACTGTCCACTCTGCCTGTCAAAAAAATAAATAAATAAATAAAAAATAAAATAAAATTTTCACTTAGATTGAAATTATACTTGAAGCATCATGCTAAATCGTAACAGTGGCCTGTCCTGGAAATTCCAGAACATTCTTCCCACTTTCCGTTCCTTAACCCAATAAAGGTGATGACCAACGAGGCTTCATTTACCTTTCTTCTCTTCACTCTATTGCCCTACGTTCAAGTATCCAAGCTCAGGAAATCCTCAGGGGTGTTACCAGTAGGCAAATGTGAAATATTTATAACTAAGTGTTTAAAAGTACAATGGGAATAGTCTAGTCAGTAACTGACTATCAATCCTTATTTTCATTGTTCTTTCTCTAGGTATTCAAGAGAAAAATATGGATGTTAGATTATGTGCTTGCTTTCCTTAAAACCTGCAATAATTTTGGGCCAGAAACCCTAAAAGTTTGACAACCCAGGAACTGCCACCTAGGGATTTCTCAGTGTTTATACAAGTTTGGTGTAGGTTATCATAAAGGTTCCTTTGAAATAATTCCGTGGTGCTTTGGTCACTCCAAATGTCAGTTTTCTGAAGATTCACTCTCGGAGAAAAAGCATTAAAACAATTTGTGTTCACTGTAGTTTTTGCAGTTGAACTGATAAAGACACCACGGGGACTTTTCTTCTGAGTTCCAAAAGATATATAAGGCCCATTTGGTTTTGGCACTTTAGTCACTGTCATGGGGACAGCGAATGCAAAAGAAACTGTAAGGAATATTGGAAGTTTTATCTCATGTTATGGCCCCTTTCAAGTACCGTGTACAACCAGGCCAATATTTTAAGGGGTACAGACATAAGGGAAGAGAATTAGAAATAATGGAGAAATTCAGATGTCCAAGCATTTCAGGTTTTGCTCAAAATTCATCTCCAAATTTCATACATTCCAGAATTTTCTTTTCCACCTCATAATGGCCCCACCTCCATCCCTGACCATTCCTGCAAGCTTCATGTAAGAGGAAGTTAAGGCGCCACGGCTCAATAGGCTAACCCTCCGCCTTGCAGCGCCGGCACACCGGGTTCTAGTCCCGGTCGGGGCGCTGGATTCTGTCTCGGTTTCCCCTCTTCCAGGCCAGCCCTCTGCTGTGGCCCGGATGTGCAGTGGAGGATGGCCCAAGTCCTTGGGCCCTGCACCCCATGGGAGACCAGGAGAAGTACCTGGCTCCTGCCTTTGGATCAGCGCGATGCGCCGGCCACAGTGTGCTGGCCGTGGCAGCCACTGGAGGGTGAACCAACGGCAAAAGGAAGACCTTTCTCTCTGTCTCTCTCTCTCACTGTCCACTCTGCCTGTCAACAACAACAACAACAAAAAAAAAAAAAAAGAGGAAGTTAAAATGAGACTCCTGCTTATTTTCTGCTAAGATCCCAAGACAAATAGGTGCGTCCAACTGCTCCAAATTCCAAAGTCAGGTGCCTGACCCCTAAGGCAGGATCTTCAAGAAGGTACCTGAAAACCTGTGAAGAGAAGCTTAACCAGCAACCAGCAACCACCTTCAGTCTATAAAAGAGGCTGGAGAGGTCACAGGGAGGTAGAAATCCGAGGAAGAATGTCTTTCTGAATTCCATCTCCTCTGTGTTTGCTGGAGGAGAAATCCTCACCTCAAGGTGAATAAGAAGGGTTTCATGAAAATTACGTGGCGACCTCAACCTGCATGCCCCAAGACTGTGAGTGTCCCTAGCAGACCATGCCTAGAAAAGCCAGTCTGCAAGGCACAGGGCTCTTGTTAGTTAGCTGCTCAGCTGGGTCCTCAGGAAGAGGCGGCTGCAAAGCAAAGGGCCTAGATCCTCCACGTCTGTGGGAAGAAGGCGCTCAGGTGCTGCCTGTCGGAGCCACGTAGGACTGAGGAGACACAAGCTCCATCTGAAGTGGTCCTACAGGGACTCGCCGAGGAGGACTACCTAGAGAACAGTGGAGCCCTACCAAGAGCCGACGGTGAAGGCAAGCACCACCACAGGGACAGGTTATCATTTCTGTCCGGGAACCCACAAGACAGAAGTGGGGTGGGGGAGAGGGATGCTGCAGAACACAAGGACCCCGGGAAGGGAAACTAGCAGCAGCCCAAGGGGCTCCGTGCAGTACACAGCCTTACCTCTGATCTGCACTTCCCCCTTTGTCCCTGGAGGCCTCAATCTGGGAATAGGGCAGTCCATCACAAAAAAAAAAAATCCAGCTACACATCCCTTTCATTTGCTGGCTGCCTCCCTGAAACAGGCCTGGGCTAGAACAGGGGAGTTGCCTCAGTCTCCACCAACAGGATTTTCACTGGTACTTAGGACTGAACATTAACACTGGAGTGAGACCCTTGATGCCCTGAAATAACTAAACAACTTTATTATTTGAGAACACCCAACAAAATCGAATTTCTCACTCCCTCTGAAGCGCGTGGGAAAGACTGGTGCGCGTGGGAAAGACTGGTGCACACGGGCAGTTTGGGGAAGGCTGGCTAGGAAGGACTGTTTCTCACTGTCCCCCTCCAGTCTGGCTTGGTCAGCAGAGAGGTGACCCTTGTCATGAGATGTGGGATGATGGTGATAAACCCGTTGCTTTCACTCGCTAAGTGATTTCCAAATTAGCTTAGTGTTAACTACATCTTGGAAAAAACAAATACTTCTCTAAAGCTGTCAGGACAGTCAGTGGCCTCCGACCCGAGACGTGCCTGTGTTCACTAAATCTGGGGAGCTGGGTCTCGTGCTGGAAGTTCTCAGAAGCTTCCAGAAGAGGAAAGGGGAGAAAGGACAGAAATGGCTCCCCTTAGGCGGCTTCCCCTACGAGTGATCTAACACGGGCCTAGACAGCCCAGACAATTCATCATTGGGGCAGCAGCCACCTGAGTGGCCCAAAGTCTCTCTCTGTTAGATGAAACCCAGGGGACATTCTCCTTTACACTCATCCCTGGTGACCCCAGTGACCCCTGGTGACCCCCCTGGTGATTCCCAGTTCACTCTCATCTTGCTTTTGCAATTGACACCTCCATTCCTTTTTCTCCCATTTGCATTAAAGTGGCATGGTTACCATACTTGGGCTAGCTCTTCCTCTCCTCCTGACTAGTGCTATGACAGGGCACAGCAGTGCGCCAGGTAAGCATTCTTCAGGGTTGATCATCCAAGAAGATCTAAATTATTTGGCAATGAAGTCATCACTTCATTCCTGCATCACGGTGGCGTGCACACTTGAAGGTCTCAGCTTTAAGTGAATTTCACCCCACCAAACAACCTATAATATACATTCAAACAGAGACACACAGGGGCTAGCAGGATCCCTGGGGGCCTTGCCCTCCCCTCCCCCACACCCATTCAGGCACCGAGTTTGCTTGCTTACCTAGCCGCCTAGGCACCAGGTGCACCGGCTTAGCTCTATTCTGTTCTTTCCACTTCTCCAGGTTTGCCAGCTCTTGCTCAGCAACTAAGCAAAGTGAGAAAAATCAAAGCACCCATCGTTAGACGCTGAAAAGGAGACTGGCACCTTCATGCATAAAACCACCATCAGAGGGCGATGAACTCGAGCAAGCATGAGTGGATATGTTCTCCAGGGTAAGAAAACACCCTCCAGCCCTACCCCTTCCGGGCCACCCTGGGCCCACGCCTGGGGCACTTCCTCTACAAGAATTTTCACAACCAGCATTTCTACTAAAATGAGGGAGTATAGCTTTTCTTCCCATTCTTGCTTAGTTTTAAAGGGTTCCTATAGAAAATATGCTGACAATTAGAATATTAGAACATGCCAGTAAGAACTTTTCACACACAGGTAAACATTTCCCCCAGAGAATTCTGGTGCCCATATTGCTTTAAGTGTCCCCCCACGCTTACTGCAACTGTGGGGCACAAGGGTCTGTGTGTGGGTGGGCACCCTTGCTCAGGTTCCTGACACTGGGGACCATTAGGCAGAACCTATTCCCCAGGGAGTGTGACAGCAGGGGGCGCCAGAGAGACACCTGCCCTGTTTTCTGCCCAGGGCATGCCCTAATTTTCTCTTAAACCTGATTAATCCAAACGCTCGCTTATAATACGATTATTGAAAGGAAGGAAGGAAGGAAGGAAGGAAGGAAGGAAGGAAGGAAGGAAGGAAGGAAGGAAGGAATCCTGTTAAATATTTAAGTCAAAAGTTTGAAGATGCCAAAGCTTTTGGGTTTCTGCTGGTCTACCGCCAGCAGTACCCATAGATATATAGCAAATGTCTGTGAAGCTATGATTCTCATAAGCTGTACTACCCAACTGTACCACACAGGGGGCTACCTGCCTGGGAGAGGAGGGCTTTGGAGAGCTGCTTTCCTGCTGTGCCCTTATGTCCATCATTAATCGCAAAATTAAATCTCCCATCAACAATCTAATAAAGAGCATTGGAGTTCAGTCCTAGCACCACAGCTTGACTTGAACAAGCCTCAGATGTCCTTGTGAAGTAAATGAACTTCTCCTTCCAGTTCTGAAAGATGCTATGCTAAGTCCAAATGGTAGCATTTATATTTCCCATATTTCAATTAAACATACTATATAGACACTAAGTACAAAACCAAGTACGATGTGGTCCCTGTCCTCAAGGAGTTTATAACTAACAGAAGGAAACTGAACCACACAAATAAAAACAGCTGGAAACCATCAATAAATACAGAAAACAGCTGAGGTAGATTCTGATGGTTACAAAATATGGGCATGCAGAGAATAAAGAAAAATGGTATCGCAGAGGAATGGGACAAACCAAGAAAGGTACAAATCATGTCATGATCAATTTGGCATCTCACTTGTCTGTTTCAAAAGTACTCATAAAGCATCAGCAGTCTGTCTAACTTTACAGGGATGAGCTCAGTATATAGGTAACTTGTGAAGCTGCGTAAGCCCAAGAGAAATCCAAAAAAGTACTGAGTTCTGTTACTCTTGTAGCGAAACAGATTCACAAGTGTTAACAGCAGAATCATTCTGACAGGCACAATTAAAACTGCCAAAGTTAAAAAGAAAAAAACTTTGATGAGATCAGGTGCACCTGTACAAATGAGAAGATAAAAAGACTTCAGACCAAAACCAACCGACTGGAAAGAAAGTGAGAGGTACTTGAATGGTAAATGAATAAGCATACATACTCCTTTGTATCTGGTTTCTCCGGTGTTCATTTGGTGCTATCAAGGTATATGCTCCTGTGCTAGAATGAAGAGGGAAAAAAAATCGCTTATTATCATAAGAAAAACCAGCACACATAAGGCAGCAGACAGGGTACTGTAGAAGATGGTATTCTTAAGGCCCAGATCTGCTCTCCAGGACCTTACAATCTAATTGTCAAAGCAAGACAAATGGATGTGGCCAAACACAGAAATACAGGGGTACTTCAATATGTTCTGAGAAAATGTAATTAAGATAAGTTTATCTTGGTGCCAAAAAAATTTTGAAATCCATGCTCTCCTTTTCATTACATGCATTTTTCAAGGACACTTTGAAAACCTCTCATACTCAGTTTTCAAATTCTGAGACACAAAACCTATTTTTAAGTCCATTTTCCATGAACTTTTAGAAGTATGCTCTTAGAAAGTAGTGATGTGACAAGTGACTGCTTCACCACTGGGTCTTGGTAGAATGGCCTTGTAGGACTTCTTTGTTCTTGTAGGTGGTACTTGTGGCTAAGTTCCCTTTAAAACTGGCATGCTCTTCCCTGTGAGCCACATGGGGCAGACAAAAAAACACTGGTGCATTCCCTGTTCCCACACACTGAGAGCACAGGCCGTCTCCTCTTGAAGATGTACCTAAGTATTCAAATGGACACAGTCTTGTGCTATTAGTATTCGACTTTTCTGGGCATAGGCCTACCAGGTTCTTCTCTCTGCTGGGCACACATAGGAGCATAATCAGGAGACAAAGAAGCAAGGAAGGTCTTCATAGAGGAAGACTTCATTTAACCAAAAGTATTAAAGACTGAGACATTGGGAAGCTGTTAAAATAGTATGAGCTTTGGAGAGCAGGCACCATGATCAACTGACGCGTAGTCCAAATGATGCCACGAGTCCAGTCGTTGAGTCTGTGCTGGGGTGGCCCTTCTCGGTACAGTGTGTGAGGTCCCACAAGAATACGAATGCTCCATAATTCAAAATTATAGCGCAGCAACAGACGGCAGCACACCATGTGGGTACAGTTTTACGGGGAATGCTATGGAGAAACACAACCAGCTTATAACTAGATTTTTTAACACAAATGCCAGATACTCTTAGAAGTCCCTTTCTTCAACCTGGACTATACAATCTCAAAGAGCAAATTAGCACGGATTGAACAGTAGAGGCCAAAAGTACTGATTAGCAGAAGCCATTTCTTCTTTATCTCCTTATTTTCCTCTCTGAGAGCCTCCAGCCAGCTTCAAAGTGGGCTTTAATTTTAGACCTGTAAATGTGAGGTGTGCAACCACCTTTGCATGCAAATAGGACTGCTGGATGCCCAATTACCTGACGTATTTCAGCAGATGTTGCACATGTAGCCTAGCATGCATACAACGCTATGAATACAAAATTAGGAGACTGCCACTAGAAATTAATCCCTTGTTCGTTGCGTATATCTTTGTTCGCACTATGAAAGATTTTTCACTCCTCAATTGCCAGTGCTTTATAGGAGCTTGGGAGCTGTAATTCCGTGGGTAGTACCTGGAAACTTGAATATGATGCAATGGTGAGCCATTCTACAGAGCCTTAAACCTGAAACTGAAGACATGGAATTTAAATGCCACCCACGAAGTTACTGAACAATCTTCAGAGCCTACTAAGACTGTGATATACAGCTTCTCCCCATTCTAGGGACTTCACCATTCTGCAGATCCGTAGCTCCCAACCTTTATCATCAGAACCCCTGGAGGAGTTGTTGGTAGGCTTGTTCAGAGGCAGAATTTCTGATTCAGCAGCTCTAGGAGAAGACTCATTAACCACTGTTTTTAGGATTTTATTTGTTTATTTGAGAGGCAGAGTTACACAGAGCGAGGGAGAGACAAAGAGAAAGGTCTTCCATTTGCTCTGGTTCACAACCCAAACGGCCACAACAACCAGAGCCAGGAGCTTCTTTGAGTCTCCCACGCAGGTGTAGGGGTCCAAGCGTCTTCTGCTGCATTCCCAGGTCATAGCAGAGAGCTGGATCAGAAGAGGAACAGCCAGGACAAGAACCAGTGCCCATACGAGAGCTGGAAGCCATGACACAGAGGCTTAGCCTACTGCACCACAGTGCCGAGTCCTTATCTGCATTTTTTAACAGGTTCCCAGGTAATGCTGATATTCTTTTTTTCCATTTTTATTTATTTGAAAAGCAGAAAAACAAACAGAGAGAGAGAGAGATCTCCCATCAGCTAGTTCACTCCCTAAGTGCCTACAACAGCCAAGCCAGGCCAGGCCAAAGCCAGGAGCAAGAAACTCAATCCAGGTCTCTCACTTGGGTTACAGGGAGGGACCCAATTACTTGAGCCATCACCTGTTGCCTTTTCAGGTCTGCCTTAGCACGAAGCTAGAAGTGGGGGCAGAGCTAGGACTTGAACCCAGTCATTCCAATATGAAATGTGGGTGTCCCACGCAGCATCTTAACCATACCACCAAATACCCACCCAGATGCTGATATTCTTGATCAAGTTAAAATACTGGAAGAACCCCTGCTGTGGATCCATTAAACTGTCTGCTATGATTTGTGTATGAGTTATTCCCACCAACACTCCAGTGTTGAGAGATGGTCAGCTTCTAAGAGGCATGTATGTCAAGGGGGCACCCCTCTTAGAAGGGATTCATGGACATCTCACAAGAGTGGGTTAGGTCTCCAGGGACTAGATGATTCGTTACCATAAGAATAGCTTGTTATAAAGTGAGGCTAAAACATATGCTTGGTCTTTTGTACACATCCTCTTCCCCTTCTAAATCCCCACCATGTCATGACGCAATCATAATTCTGGTACCTTACAGCCAAATCACCATGATCCAAATTAACCTCTTTCTTTTACACATTACCTAGCATTGAGTATTCTGTTATAGAACACAAATGCACTACGAGCAGTTTGGTTAAAAGGGAACTTAGGGATTAGCTAACCTAACCTCTGATAAGGACTCAGAGGGCCGGTGCCACGGCTCACTAGGCTAATCCTCCACCTAGTGGCGCCAGCACACCAGGTTCTAGTCCCGGTCAGAGCACCAGATTCTGTCCCGGTTGCTCCTCTTCCAGGCCAGCTCTCTGCTGTGGCCAGGGAGTGCAGTGGAGGATGGCCCAAGTGCTTGGGCCCTGCACCCCATGGGAGACCAGGAGAAGCACCTGGCTCCTGCCTTTGGATCAGCGTGGTGCACTGGACGCAGTGCACCAGCCATTGGTGGGGTGAACCAACGGAAAAGGAAGACCTTTCTCTCTGTCTCTCTCTCTCACTGTGTACTCTGCCTGTCAAAAAAAAAAAAAAAAAAGGACTCAGAGGACTCAGAGATTCAATAATGTGCCAAAGAGCATGATACATGTTAATTCAGCAGCAGGGCTGAAATCAAATCCAGGAACTTTGACTAAGACCAACGTAGTCTTCAGCTAACTTCAGCTAACAATACAAAAGGCATAAAATAGGACTCTTCTTTAACTTCCGCCCCTTGGTTGACTTTCAATCAATGAAACATATTTAACTGAGCATCTGTGATGGACTTTGTTATGTTAGGGACTTACTGAGAGTAAAGGAATACCCAGAAAATAGACATCAACCACTATAACAGAACTTAAACTTTACTTAGGAATGATTTGTAAAACTAGCAGAACATTCCACAAGAATACCCAGACAATGGATAAAGTGGGATGTTGTAAGCAATCAGAGGTTCAAGGTAGAAGATATTCACAAAGACACCTGTGGGGTAGAAAACTTGCATAAAGCGGGTGGGCATTTGGCACAGCAGTTAACTTAAGACATCTATGTCCCATATCAGAGCACCTAGATTCATGACTCAACTACACTCTAATTCCAATTTCCTGCTAATTCACACCCTGGGAGGCAGTAGAGATAGCTCAAGTGGTTGGCTCCCTGCCACCCACATGGAAGACCTGGCTGTTGCTGGTATTTGAGGAGTGAACCAGTGGGTGGAAAATCTCTCCTCCTGATCTCTCTCTATCTCTCACTCTCCCCATGCCTCTCTCCCTCTGTCCCTCTGCCTTTCAAATAACAGCAGTAAAAATCTTAGGGGGCCAGCATTGTGATGTAGCAGGTTAAGCCTCTGTCTGTGATGCCAGTGTCCCATATGGGCGCCAGTTCAAGAGCTGACTGCTCCACTTCCAATCCAGCTCCCTGCTAATGTGCCTGGGAAAGCAGTGGAAGATGGCCCAAGTGTTTGGGCCCTTCCACCCACGTAGGAGACCTTGAAGAAGCTCCTGGCTTTAGCCTGACCTTAGCTCCAGCCATTGTGGCCATTTGGGGAGTAAATCAGTAGATGGAAGATCTCTCTCTCTCTCTCTCTTCCTCTCCCTCTCTCTCCCCTCCTCCCTCTGTAACTTTGCCTTTGAAATAAATGAAAAATAAAGATTTTTTTTTAAAAAGCTTGAAAAATTTTTATTTAAACACTGGGTATTGTGGCCTGTTGAGTCAAGCCACCACCTGCATCCCAAACTGGAGTGTCTGTTTGAATCACAGCTACTCCACTTCCTTCTCAACTCCCTACTAATGTGCTTGGGACGTAGTAGATGATGGCTCAAGCACTTGAGTACCTCTACCTGTGTGCAAGACAGAGATGGCATTCTAGCTGCCAGCTTCAGTCTGACCCAGTGCTGTTGCAGCTATTCGGGGAATAAACTAGCAGATGAAACTAGCAGATGCTCTTTTAACCTCTGTGGCATCCTTCTTCATAGCTGACTCTCAAAGCTATGTGTCTATCCTCTGTCCCTCTCTGCGTCATTCTGCCTTTCAAATAAATAAATCTTTAAAAACAACAACACAACAACAAGAAAAAGGAAAGAAAACTTCGAGGGAAAAGGATACCAAGTTGGCACTTAAAGAATAGAATCTGTAATGCAAAGGTATTTCTTTGCCAGGACTTTGCTAAGAGCCACATCAAAGAAAATTTTCTGGGTTCATGGTTCTCATGGAAATTTTGGAAGACATTTGCAATGAAAAACCAACGGTTTGTGAAAGATTGTATTCCACAGTATCTAATCTAAGTTTTAGTCTGGCAACATACA